TGCATCTGTTTCATTTCAAAACAGATACACCTTTCATATGTGAGTATTTGTGCACATAGAAAAAAGATTGAATAACATCAAAAGATGATGAGTAAATACCTCTGGGTATTGGGATGGCACATGATTTTTTTTGTTTGTTTATACTTTCCTGTGTTTTCCAAATAATTCACAGGGGCATAAATGGATATTAATTTTACAATTAAAAATTTTAAGTTTGGGGGAGTGCCCTGATGGCCTAGTGGTTAGGATGCTGGGCTTTCACTGCCATGGCCCAGGGTTCAATCACTGGTCAGGAAACTGAGATCCTGCAAGCCATGGGGCATGGCCAAAAAAAAAATTAAGTTTGGTAGGAATTAAACTACTTTGTATTAAAAATTCTGTTAATATACACTTTTAAAAATCATTTCAACTCTATTTTTAATATTCTAGATCTTAAGCTGGGTAGTGAATACAGGAATGTTCATTATATTATTTTTACATCTCTCTATATGTGTGAAGTTTTCATAATATTGTTTTTATTTTTATTTTTTTGATCCTGAATTTTAAATAAATTTTTATTGGAATATAGTTGATTTACAAAGTTGTGTTAGTTTCAGGTGTACACTTAAGTGAATCAGTTATACATACACATACATCCACTCTTTTTATTTTTAGATTCTTTTCCGATATAGGCCATTACAGAGTGTTGAGTAGAGTTCCCTGTGCTTTACAGCATGTTCTCATTAGTTTACCTATTTTACTTATTAGTAGTGTGTATATGTCAGTCCCAATCTCCCAATTTATCCCACCCCCCTTATCCCCTGGTAATCATAAGTTTGTTTTCTACATTTGTGACTCTGCTTCTGTTTTGTAAATAAGTTCATTTGTACCCTTTTTTTTAGATTCCACATATAAGCGATATCATACGATATTTGTCTTTCTTGTCTGACTTAGTTCACCCAGTATGACAATCTCTATGTCCATCCATGTTGCTGCGAATGGCATTATTTTTTCTTTTTTATGGCTGAGTAATATTCCATTGTATATATGTACCACATCTTCTTCATCCATTCCTCTTTCGATGGACACTTAGGTTGCTTCCATGTCCTGGCTATCGTAAACAGAGCTGCAGTGAACATTGGGGTGCATGAATCTTCTCAAATTATGGGTTTTTCCAAGTATATGCTCAGGAGTGGGATTGCTGGATCCCACTCCTGAAAAAAGCTATTTTTAGCTTTTTAAGGAACCTCCATACTGTTCTCCATAGTGACTGTACCAATTTACATTCCCACCAACAGTGTAGAAGAGTTCCCTTTTCTCCACACTCTCTCCAGCATGTACTGTTTGTAGATTTTTTGATGATGGCCATTCTAACTGCTGTGAGGTGATACCTCACTGTAGTTTTGATTTGCATTTTTCTAATAATTAGTGATGTTGAGCACATTTTCATGTGCTTTTTGGCCAGCTGTATATCTTCTTTGGAGAAATGTCTGTTTAGATCTTCAACCCATTTTTTGATTGGGTTATTTGTTTTTTTGATATTGAGCTGCATGAGCTGTTTGTATATTTTGGAGATTATTCCTTTGTCAGTTGCTTCATTTGCAAATATTTTCTCCCATTCAGAGGTTTGTCTTTTTTGTTTTGTTTATTGTTCCCTTTGCTGTGCAAAAGCTCTTAAGTTTAATTAGATCCCATTTGTTTATTTTTGTTTTTATTTTCATTTCTCTAGGAGGTGGGTCAAAAAAGATCTTGCTGCTATTTACGTCAAAGAGTGTTCTGCCTATGTTTTCCTCTAAAAGTTTTATAGTATCTAGCCTTACATTTAGGTCTTTAATCCATTTTGAGTTTATTTTTGTGTATGGTGTGAGGGAGCGTTCTAATTTCATTCATTTACATGTAGCTGTCCAGTATTCCCAGCACCACTTATTGAAGAGACTATCTTTTCTCCATTGTATATTCTTGCCTCCTTTGTCATAGATTAGGTGACCATAGGTGTCTGGGTTTGTCTCTGGGCTTTCTATCCTCTTCCATTGATCTATATCTCTATGTGCCAGTACCATACTGTCTTGATTACTGTAGCTTTGTAGTATAGTCTCCAGTCAGGAAGACTGATTCCTCCAGCTCCGTTTTTCTTTTTCAATGTTGCTTTGGCTATTCAGGGTCTTTTGTGTTTCCATACAAATTATAAAATTTTTATTCTAACTCTATGAAAACATAATATTGTTTTTAAATTGCTATTGAAAAATAAGTACATGATTGCAAGGTTTTTTAGTTTTTTGTTTTTTCAAGTAGGATAAGTGAAAGGGTTGGAGCAAAGCACTCCCTCTCTGAGCTTTGGCAAACACCAAGAGTGTGAATTTACATCTTTGGTCATAACTAGCTAAATAGCCCTAATGGCTGTATAGCACTTGTGAATTTTTTTAGAGAATTCTAAAATGTGAGACTGGTACCATATTAAATTGCATCAGGGGATCTGGAAGGAAAGGTTTCTTATGGTTCCAGGAAATCGAATTTTATATCTCTGCATCCTAAGAGATACTTTTCTTTCAAAATGACCCTCTACTCTGAAAGCTATCAAATTTCAGTTTATCGGATACATTGAAATTACTAATACATAATCTTTCTAAAAAATCCTTCAGTCTTCTGATACAAATAGATGGAGTGATATACCATGTTCTTGGATTGGAAGAATCAACATTGTGAAAATGACTCTACTACTGAAAGCAATCTACAGATTCAATGCAATCCCTATCAAACTGCCACTGGCACTTTTCACAGAACTAGAAAAAAATTTTCACAATTTGTATGGAAACACAAAAGACCCCGAATAGCCAAAGCAATCTTGAGAAAGAAAAACGGAGCTGGAGGAATCAGGCTCCCTGACTTCAGACTATATTAAAAAGCTACAGTAATCAAGACAGTATGGTACTGGCACAGAAACAGAAGTATAGATCAATGGAACAGGATAGAAAGCCCAGAGACAAACCCATGCACATATGGTCACCTTATCTTTGATAAAGGAGGCAAGAATATACAGTGGAGAAAAGGCAGCCTCTTCAATAAGTGGTGCTGGGAAAACTGTACAGCTACATGTAGAAGGATGAAATTAGAGCACTCCCTAACACCATACACAAAAATAAACTCAAAATGGATTAAAGACCTAAATGTAAGGCCAGACACCATCAAACTCTTAGAGAAAAACATAGGCAGAACACTCTATGACATAAATCACAGCAAGATACTTTTTTGACATACCTCCTAGAGAAATGGAAATAAAAGCAAAAATAAACAAATGGTACCTAATGAAACTTAAAAGCTTTTCCACAGCAAAGGAAACCATAAACAAGACAAAAAGACAACCCTCAATATGGGAGAAAATATTTGCAAATGAAGCAACCGACAAAGGATTAATCTCCAAAATATACAAGCAGCTCATGTAGCTCAATATCAAAAAAACAAACAACCCAATCCAAAAATGGGCAGAAGACCTAAACAGACATTTCTCTAAAGAAGATATACAGATTGCCAACAAACACATGAAAGAATGCTCAACATCATTAATCATTAGAGAAATGCAAATCAAAACTGCAATGAGATATCATCTCACACGAGTCAGAATGGCCATCATCAAAAAATCTACAAACAGTAAATGCTGGAGAGGGTGTGGAGAAAAGGGAATCCTCTTGCATTGTTAGTGGGAATGTAAATTGTTACAGCCACTATGGAGAACAGTATGGAGGTTCCTTAAAAAACTAAAACTAGAACTACCATACGACCCAGCAATCCCACTCCTGGGCATATACCCTGAGAAAACCATAATTCAAAAAGAGTCATGCACAACAGTGTTCATTGCAGCACTATTTACAATAGCCAGGACATGGAAGCAACCTAAGTGTCCATCAGCAGATGAATGGATAAAGAAGATGTGGCACATATGTACAATGGAATATTACTCAGCCATAAAAAGGAACGAAACTGAGTTATTTGCAGTAGGTAGATGGACCCAGAGACTGTCATACAGAGTGAAGTAAGTCAGAAAGAGAAAAACAAATACCATATGCTAACACATATATATGGAATCTAAAAAAGAAAAATACAAAATGGTCAGAAGAACCTAGGGGCAAGATGGGAATAAAGATGCAGACCTACTAGAGAATGGATTTGAGGATACGGGGAGGGGGAAGGGTAAGCTGGGACAAAGTGAGAGAGTGGCATGGACATATATACACTACCAAACATAAAATAGATAGCTAGTGGGAAGCAGCCGCATAGCACAGGGAGATCAGCTTGGTGCTTTGTGACCACCTAGAGGGGTGGGATAGGGAGGGTGGGAGGGAGGGAGATGCAAGAGGGAAGAGATATGGGGACATATGTATATGTATAACTGATTCACTTTGTTATAAAGCAGAAACTAACACACCATTGTAAAGCAATTATACTCTAATAAAGATGTTAAAAAAATAAAATTAAAAAATCCTTCAGTCTTAATGTATTTGCCTGGAGTTGCAAAACTGCAGTGTTAACAGTGATATCAAAAACACTTTCAGCGAATTCCTAAACAGACGCAAACACTCTCATCTAATATACTTCAAAACAATGTCTATAGACAGAGCAATATTGTTCCAATTCAAATGAAATCAAGCCAGGGGTTGCAGAGCTTCCTCAATGGAATCTAAGGGAATGGTAGTCAAGCCCTAAGCTTCAGAGGAATCGAGAAGTAGATAAAGGTCTGATAAACTTTGTTCATTTATTTGCCTTTTCCCCCTTTTATTTGGTCTGTTTTCATCTAGAAAGGGATTTACGAGTGTCTCAAAGCAGATCAAGTGCAGGCAAGACCTTGCACTAACTTGCCTGGAACCCTCCGCTACGAGCTACAGGGCGAGAAACCACAACCCCCAAAAGGCTTTGCGGGCCTGGGGCGGGGCCGTCCCGTAGATTGGTTGTCCTGCATCTCCAGGCAAGGGATGATTGGCCAGCCCTGGGAATGGGGTGAGACTAAGGCAGTTGCGGGAAGTGAGACTGAGAGCAGTGACAGGCCGAAGATCGCGGGCTGGCTGTTTAGATCCAAACTCCAGCCCGCCGACTGGCAGCGAGGAATTGAGAGAAACATGGCTCGGCCGTACGTTTGCCTGCTGGCCCTGGCGGCTGTGCTACTGCTAGGCATCGCCGCCGTCTCCAGATCGAAGGGCCTGCGGGGCAAGGGGCATCAGAGGGCGCCGCGAATCCCTTCTCAGTTCAGCCACGAGGAGCGCGTCGCAATGAAGGAGGCTCTGAAAGGTGAACCTTGGTCCCCTTCACCACTTATTCTCGTATATAGGTCGCTGTCTCCTCGGGCCAACCCGCGACTCCCTTCTGCCGCCACAGAGGTCGGCTACTCGAGCTCGAGCCCCGCAACACCCCACCGCCGAGCCCTGGCCCCATTCACGGCACCTCGTGCCCGGCTTGGGGAGCCCATTCTTCTCCTAGACCTGGCTTCTGGGGACTCCAGCGTTCCCAGCCTACCCTGGAAGCTTCAATTGTGCCCTTATCCACACTACCCCACCCCCACCTCCACTTGCCTGGAGCATGGGGGTTGGCCACAATCTGATCTCTTTTGGAAGAGGTGGCTGCCAGTGTGTCAGGGGGTCATCACTGCCTTGGGGAGGACGGGGCAGGGCAAAGAATCCCTCCAATTCCTGCGTAAAATCTCTGGCCCCACCCCTGCTGGAGGTTGGACTGAATACCCTCCTCCCTCATTTGGGGGGTGTTGCCCCATCATTGCCCAGCTCCTCTGACTGCCCCCTTGAATTCAGGCTGGGGGTACTGGTCACTGCCAATGTAGGACTTGCTGAAAGATGGGGATTCTTGCCCCTCTCCAGGTCTCCTCCTTAGGTGAAGTGATAAAGGAAGGGTCTAATGTCTTTTTAAATGGCACAATTTTAGGGGTCTGAGGGTGCAGTCCCTTAACCTGACACTGGAGGGGACCCCCTAAACTCTTCCCGCCACACTCGAAGTTTCTGTGTGGAGGGGAGCAGGGAGATCTAAGCTGTGGTGTGAAAGGGTAGGGAGAGATGCTGGGGGTGAGGGTGCTGTGTTCTAGACCCCCCATATTATCCCAGTATCCCTGCCCCCTTCCCTCACCCCATGCCCCCAATTCTGTGGCAAATCCAGATTGTGAAAATGTACAATAAATGTGTAATGAGTAAAAAAAAAAAAATACAACAGCTTTTAACCTTTGAGAATTTTCACTTGTTAAACCACTTAAGACTAAAGATCTGAATCTTATCTACAGATGAGGGAAATTGAAGTTTAGGTCAGTTAAATGATCTTCCCCAGCACCCCGCACCTTGGAGTAAGCACTGGGTGACAACATCTAGTGCCTGTAGTTTCCAGATGGCTCCAAAAAGAGGTGTGGGAGTGTTGCCGGGGTGTGAGATGTTCCTAATTTCTTCTCCTAAAGGACATCTCTCCTCTAGACCGCAAACCAAGGCTAAAAATTTATTTACCTTCCCAATCTGCATTTTCCAGGAGAAAAGAAGAAAGTTTCTGTTGAGTGCTAGAACCTGTGGTATAATGAGATCCTTCCTCACCATTGGGCTTAACGCGTCTTTTCCCTTCCATTAAGTGATGGATTAAAAGAACCTGCCTACATAAACATGTGCCGGCAGATGCGAAAGCTAACCCTCATTGTTAAATATAAATTGTGTTTGTGCTGGAGCGATAGGCCTGGGAGGCAGAGCAGGGCTTTCCCAAAGCATCATAGTATAAATAGTTCTCTGAAGGGCATTGGGCAGCAGCTCACCAGAGTCTCCCTGCACAAAAGAAAGCAAAAGCTAGATTAGAACCTAAAAATGGGGCCTCATAGCAACATGGCTTAGAATGCTGAGCAGGGGGCAAAACACCTGAGTTCAGAACTTGAGTCTGCCTCTCAATGTCACGTAGGCAGTTTTAGTCTTTTTGAACCTTGGCTTCCCCACCTATGTGGTAGGCTATGACTCAGGGTTGACTCTTAGCAAAACTGAGTACAGAAGTCAGACGCCCTCCCTTGACATCAAGCTGCCCTGGGTGCATTTGTTCCCAGTGTTTTCGGACAGCCATCTAATCAAATAATTTCATGATCCATGTGTTTCTGCGCCCCTCCTCCCCCCCCCACCCCCGCTGTTTGCATTTGATAGTGGAACTCTTTAAGAATGTAAAGCCTTCACCAAGGGATCAACCTAGTGGCAATTTAGCAAGTGAGACTTCCGGGTAGAGTGGATGAGATTGTTTATGACTGAAGAGCTTGTTTGGGAGCTTCTAAATCCACCGCTTCCCAGGCATCATGTGCCCAAAAAGCTGGCCTTGGCTGAGAGAACAGTGAGACTCTGGATGAGCCAGTCTATGAGGAATAAGCTACTCTCTGTACAGAAAAGCACAGAAGGCTTCATTCTTGTAGGGACCCAGGACAGCGGTCTCCTTAGATTCATTGAAGGGATGGTGGCTTCAGAGGCAGAGTGAGACCTTAGAAGCAATTTATAGCAGCTTCCCACTCAGGATCAGGATATAAAATCTACTCCTGTCTGACCTCCCCTACCCCATCCCATCTTGGACTTTATTTTCCTTTAAGAACCATGTTAGCCTAAATAAATTCAAAGAACTTGAGTTTAAATCCCAGTTCTACTGCTTGTTTCTGGACAGTCTTGAGCAGCTCACCTAACGCCTGTAAGCTTGTTTCCTCAGTTTCAAATAAGGGAAAACGACAGTGCCTACCTCAAAGGATTGTATTGCCCTCCACAATAAGATAATGAATGCAAGAGAACTTTTTATGTACAGAGGGCTGTGGAAAAATCAATGGTTGTTATCATCTTCCATCTCTGACTGATAGGTGCCATCCGGATTCCAACAGTGTCTTTCAGCCCCGAGGAGCTCAACACGACAGCCCTGGCTGAGTTTGGAGAATACATTCATAAAGGTCAGCCACAAACTGTGCACAAGGGGTAGGAGAGGTAGCGCTGGAGACAGGGTGTTTTTACAAAGTGATAAAGAAGTTTAATTTGTGACTGACCATGGGCAACCTAATTTGTATGGGCCTCTTTTGACCAAAGTTTGTACATAGTGGGGAGCGATAGAAGGGAGAGTCCAGGAGTTAGAGTGGACACAGAGGAGAGACTATAGATTTGCCCTTTGAAGAACCAAGGCACATAGCTGTTGGGTTGGAGTTTGAACTCTCCCAATCTTTGCCCTAAATATGTCAGTAAATAAATATAATCTAACCAAAAGGTAGGACTAGGAATTCCTTCTCCCATAGTTGCCAGAACTATGCTCCATGCTCCTCCCACCCCTACCTCCATACACATACCTACAGCCCACACATGTGCACATCCCACCTACCCAAGCCCTACTCCAGATTCATTACTAACACATTTCTGAGCTTCTAGGCAGTCAACAGCTTTGAACTATCACATCAGTCCTCTCCCCCTACCCCACTGCCCATGAGCTAAAGAAATATGGGTCAACGGAAAAAAGGAGACTTGGAGCTCCCCCTCCCCATAGAAAAAGCTTATGGAAAGTAGTGAGGCCACTTTCCTAAATCAAATAAAAAACAGCCGCCCTCAAGTCTCAGGTGGGAGGGGCTGGCAAAGGCCCGGCAAGTAGCCCCCTCTCTAACACTCTGGGGACGGGTAGATCTGGGATCAATCCAACAGGCTGAAAGTCTTCACTAAATAGGAGATAAAAATCAGGAAAGAAATGTACAGTAACAGTAGACTAGATAAACTGGCTGACAAGAAAAAAGCATATTCTTCATTTTTGTTTGTTTGGTTGGTTTTAGGTATCCACAGAGGTATATATGGATTCTTCCAACACAGCCCAGGGGGAGATCAAAGTTCTTTCTCCCATGTGTCTAAGGCCGCCTGTGTTAATACTTTTCTGTAACCGGAATAGTTGACCCTGCGAACACCCACACCTGCACACAAAATTGTGGCCATATGCTAGACAGAATAATCTTTTATCTCCATATAACACAAAAGTATTGTTTTGTAAAAGAAAAGTATCTCTGATTTTTTAATACATATATATATAGTGGTCATGTTTGGTTCCAAGTAACTTGGATACTGGGGCCTATTATATTTAAAATTTAACATAGTCTTCGTCTCCGTCATCCTGTAACGTGTATTTGTGACAACATTAGAGGTCAGACCAAGCCAGATCTTGAGCTCTTATCTGTCATAATGGTGGGGTCTTGATATGCAGGTTATTACACAGTAATAGCACATTATAATATAGGGAAGAGGTATTTCAGAGATTGGGCAAATCAGGAATCAGACTGGCTTTGTACCAGAAGGCTTCCTAAAGGAGGCTGTATGTTTTAAAGGGAAAAGAAAAAAGCAGGGAGAATCAAATGGTAGGAAAACCAAAGGCAACTGTTGAATCTGGCTTTCTCTCATTGCTTTTCATCTCTCTGCTTCTAGTCTTTCCTACTGTGTTCAAAACCAGCTTTATCCGGCACGAAGCTGTGGGAGAGTACAGCCACCTGTTCACTGTCCAAGGCTCGGACCCCAGCCTGCAGCCCTACATGCTCCTCGCTCACATTGATGTGGTGCCTGCCCCTGATGAAGGCTGGGACGTGCCCCCGTTCTCTGGGTTGGAGAGTGATGGCTTCATCTATGGTCGAGGCACACTGGACAACAAGAACTCTCTTATGGTCTTGAAACGCTATGTTCCCTCTGCCTTGGAGTCCTAAAGATTAACCCAGGAGCGGGGTGCTTGGCTAACCCCTGGGAGGCAGGAGGCTATGGTAGAAAGAACCTTGGCTTCAGGATACCTCGGTTCTAGTCATCAGTTTGTCACTTCCCTAGGCCCCGATTTCTCAAGTGTGAAATAGGGATTAGAGTAGATGATCCCCAGGTACCCTTTCAGCTCTGACATTGATAAATTTATGCTTTTCTCTAGGTGGTAAAAGTTTCATGCAGAGCTCTGCTTCCCTACATCCCATCCCCTGGGACCATTTTAATTTGTTCTCTCCAAAGAGAGTCTATCACATCCTAGTCCCATCAGCCCTATTGCCAGCAGCCAAATGTCTCTGATGCCCATTGGTGCCACACCTTAGAGAATAAGCCTTTCTCCTCTTCCATTGTCCTTCTGTCCCCTAGGCAGTCCTGCAGGCCTTGGAGCTTCTGCTGATCAGAAACTACATCCCCCGAAGATCTTTCTTCATTGCTCTGGGCCATGATGAGGAGGTAGAGCCCCCTCATCCTATACCTATCTCTGGGTCCCCTATTGGGGGAGGGAGTATGCTTCACCCTGGTCTGGTTTGCTCCCCGGCTGCACTGTCTCCAGGATATGGTGTGGTAATTTGCCAACTTCTCTGTGTATCTGTCGCCAGAAATATCTAAGGACTTTGACCAAAATGCAGATGCCTAGGATCTGTGCCATAGATCCGAATTTACTGACCAAAATGCAGACGCCTGGGCGCTGTGCCATAGATCCGAATTTGTTGTTTTTTAAAGACTTTTTTTTTTTTTTTTGCGGTACGCGGGCCTCTCACTGTTGGGGCCTCTCCCGTTGCGGAGCACAGGCCCCGGATGCGCAGGCTCAGCGGCCG